AAACTTTGTTGGACTTTATCTAATATTTTATACTTTTCTTGTCCATTTATTTATTTAATATTTTCGATCGTACTTTCCTCCCTTCATCTCTTCACAGTACTATATCTTTATTTATATGGCACATACTTCTTTGTTGCAAAGTGCACTAGAATTTGTGTGTGGTAAAAAACTATGAAGAGTTAGTTGTCGTTTTATATGACTGTGGTCTTACACCATGTAGTACAATAAAGCACGTAAGTGGTGATTGTGTTGCAAACTGATGGGGAATAACAAAATTATCTGTTAGCTCGTTTTACGTTGTAAGTTTATCAACCTATGTACTTATGTGTATGGTCATTCAGTCACCGTTTATCACTGTTATATTCCGTATTTTACAGACATTTATGAGTTTGATCAATGACTGTTTACTTTTCATATTTACCTCGAAAATAGGGGCGGAAGTGCAGCTACAAACGGACCTGATATTCAAGCTCGTCTAGATGAACTTCAAGCTGAAGTTGAGTATTTAGAAAATCTTGAAAAAAAAGTTGATGAACATAGAGGAAAAGTTTTACAGTCACTGAAAAATGTTCAAGAGGATTTAGATAATCTGCAATACGCTTATGTTACTCACCAAGATCTGATTAATATTTTTCAAGATCGTACAATGCTGATAATACGTGCACCACCTGGAACTAAACTGGAAGCACCTGTACCTGAAAATCCTATGGAGCAACAACCTGTTCAAACGATTTTCTCATTAAAGCGTTCATACAAAGTGAGCTTGTGCACCTTTCAGTTTCACTGTTGACGTTATTTTAAAATAATCAGTTTTTAAGTTTCAACTAGTAAACCTGTATAAACTGGATAAGCTTGATTAATTAAACCATTAAAAATAATTACCACCCAGACTTTAAAGGTGTAAATATATATGTATAAAAAAGTTAGCGACAGACAGGTTTAAATAATAAATATGATATACTCGTAATATCCCAATGAAGGAAATAATTAGACAGGCAGGTTTGTTGTTGGCTAGTTAATTTAATATAACTCGGTATATATATATATCCTTATTCATTCGGTAAGCTTAGTAACACAGTAATTAGTAAAAGCACAGTTAGAAATAGACCGTTCACTATTTCTGAGCTAACTTAAGAACTGTTTATCACATGAAGCTTTGTAACTACTGGTATTTAATGTTGATCATGTAAAAAATTATTTTGACGTGTATTACTGAATTCATAATAGACTTGTTATATTTTGTTGATTTTAATGTTACGAGGGAATGCTAAATAAATAAAATCGGTCTTCTTTCTGTGGCAAATCCTTTACACAATCTGCCTGATACAAATCAATTTTTGCATTTATGTCAACACAATAGAAATCCAAAAGAGATGACCTTCACAATAATAATTGGTAATATTGTGAACAAATGAAATACAAACCATTCAAAAAAAATTTAAGACGATCCAGATAAGAGAAAGTTGAAATGCTTCTTTTTATCGTTCATCCTACTATTTATATGGAAAACAAAAAGGTAACACATTAAGATCGCTACTGATTTCGGTTTCAAGACAATTCTAATAGGATCGATAAACTTGGTGACTCGGAATGTTATTAATCACCAACTTAATTAGCTAACAACCTGATACCACCAATCTTCGTTTCACAGGAATGTAATTCTTAACATCTTTCATCCAGATAGCACAGTGAGATATGTATACAGACGGTGCTAAAAATTGTTACCATGAGAACCATCAATAGGTGGGTTCTTTTAACTATAACGGAAAGCATCCAAAGCTATGAAATATTCAAAACGTTTCTGAACTAAAACATCTATAAAACACTTCTGTTACAAACGTTTTGGGTAGTAAATTTAAACGAAATGAGTGAATTTGGATGAGTTTCGCTATCTACCGCACTGGCTGAGAGTTCAAGAAAACAGGAATTTGCGAGCTTTAGACAAGTTGGACTTTCCAATACAGTTAAGTTTCTGAGTCCTACTCACTACCTTCTCGTGGCGCGGTGTTATTTACGAAATTGAGAAGACGAAAAGCGAATATCCGGCGCTTCAACCGGGTTGGTGGACACGGAGAGTCCACCTAGGAGAGTTGGAAAACCCTGATTCCAAACCAACGGTGTACATGGGCTCCACTATCCTGAAGGAACAAGTAGCGTATGAACCAATCGTTGGTCACCGGCTACCATGGGACTGCATCTTCTTACGATGCTTCACTGCCTTGCGGGTTAGACCTTTAGGTAAAAGGCTCCAGGTGTGGCTCCCTAAGAAAACTACCTGCTTCGGTTTGAACACACGGGTAGTGTCCTAGCCCTCACAAAAATCAAGTGAGGTTTGTGTGCCGCATATGTATTTGGTGCCCCTTGTACCAATATTTATGTATTCAAATAAATAAATAGGTTTCTGAGTAAAATGAACATAAAATGGATATGGTAGGTCAAATCCAGTTAGATATACATTGATTGATACTTGCTTATAATCAGGATTTGACCATCATATATTTCGGGAATGTCGACCTCAAATTACGGAACTTAAATGTTCTGTTCACAATCTGCTCATTGGCCCTGACTTTTCCTGCGAGACGTCACTTGCTGTCTTGAAAATCCACGTCCACGTAAACCTGAAAAAGCCATATAACAGCATTCGGAGAATCTTTTAACTTCCTGGTATTCCTTAACTTGTTAATATCCACTTTTGTTAATTCTTTGAGGTATTTCATTGTCTAGGTTCATGTGAAAAGCTTCACAACACCGATTCACGTCTTATTGGTAAATCAAGAAGAGGGTAGTGACAAAGCTCGTGTACTCCCTGTACCAGCAACTTCGGACTCGATTGCTCTCGCTCGTCGTCCCGCCGCGAAATCTAATGGTAAGTTGCACTTAAGAAAAGTTGAGGTTCAAGTACACTTTTACTTATTTCTGCCCCATTGACAAACTGAACATGTAACACAATGGCTTTTCAATTTACCGTTGTATCTGTTCCCATGTACCTAAGCCTAATGTTGTCGTACATAATTTCAACTACACGTGCATGACCGTCCCTTAATTCACACGCAGCAAGGAGAAATTTACCAGAACACACGTATATGAAATACATACTATATCTCATTATTTGGTGAACAGCAAGGTATAATAAACCAGCTCAGTTTCTATTCGCTATCAGAATAATTTTACATTAGCAGTCCGTAGCTTTCTCCCTGCGGACCGACACATCAGTAGACATTATTGTGCTTCGAGGTAGATGGTAGTTAGATACACCTCCCAACCATCGCGTGTAATGAAATACCAATGTATCACCAACCGATTTAACATGTTTACCTACTACCCTTACTTTAATCCCGAAATTACTCACCTGACGATCTTAATGTATGCGAAGAATGCTTCGAAGACACCTACGATCAAACACCTAACTTACGAGTGTCCTCTACTATCGCTTACACTGTTCGTTCCAATTACCCGGTTAAAAGGAGACCATGGAGTTTTTCTCACTAGCAGACGACCTTCGAATACATTTTTCCTCGATAAACCTGAACAATCGTCCAGTGTTGATTGTCGCTGCTACCATTTCTATCTCTTGTTCTCATCGCCCGCTACTGCTCACAATGACTGAGTAAACTTTCCAGTCTACCTCCAAGTTGTTTCTGCTCCTCGTGTTCAGAGCATGACGAGGTGAGTTTCCAAGCATCTATCAGTTGAGTAGACTCAAACAAAATCTAGTGACCTATCCTAACCATTTGCTGCAACCCATTAGTAGAAATCACCAATGTTTAAATGACGTGCCAAACTACATTGCAGTGAATATTACTTTCATGACCAACCAAGTCTTTTACTATTTGTTTCTGAAATATATATTTTTGACCTTTACATCATTGAGTTTAACTCCAAAATATCTTCCTAATGTGGCTTTTCTGTGTCCAGTAGAACAAAGGCATGACCAGAATCTGCAAATACACAAGAGGGAGTCGTGTTGGTTCTCTATATTAGATAGTTGATGTCAGACCAGTAACCACACTTGGTTTGTATATGCATGAGTTACGAAGAAGCAACACATGCTATGTCAGCTGTTTAATCGGTCAAAATATCTGAACATAGAAAACCCCAACAGTTCAGGATGTGGTTTCAGGATGCTAGAAATAGCAATTCGTAAACTGACTCGCTAGCACTGATTGTGTGCAGAGAAAAAAGTGAAATCAATAGTAGAAACAAAAAAATATCGGGAAGTAAAGTAAGGATTTGACCATAAACAAGATCTCTCTAATGATGTGGACGGCTGTCACTTCCCAGTTGCTCGCAATGTGGGGTGATATATATTCTCGAAATATTTGGAAAAACAGCCATTAGTAGTGACGTTGTTGACTTAGGAGCGTGACTACAGAGCTCAAGGTATAATTGCTGGAGGGCCATCAGTCCCGTTGTAAGCAGTTTTTGGTGTTATCCATATGCTCTTCAAGCTTTACGACCAGCATTAGTAATTCGTAGGACAAGATCAAACGCGTTATTTTTAGGGTGTACCCTCCGATTCCTTCACACAAATCTGAGAAGACAACCGCCGATTATCTGAAGATAATACTCTACTGTCATTAGACTTCTGTACAGCCTGCAGTAAAACTTTACTCTCAAACCTTAAGTCCCTGGTCTTAAACAGATGTGGCTGGTATGGTACGACCTGGGGATATAGCTCATCTAAGTCATCACAACAAGTAAACCCAAACTAAGTCGATACAGCATCTACAATTGGGCAAAAATTAAGAAACAAAACATATAATATAGAATGACCAGACGTAAATTTCGTAACATTGTAATTTGTCTGTTTAAAAGAAAATTTCTTTTATTTTCAGAAGAGAAAGCATTTGTGAGTCCATTATTGCCACTCAGTCCACCTCCCAGTGAATGTGATTTCAACTACAATTTGGAAGATACAGAAGGTGTCTGCGATTTATTTGATATTCCTGTTATCTCTACATCTGCCAACTGACTATTTATTGTACGCTTTCGACAAAACAATAAAACCCATATAAATAAGTAAATATTTTATTGTCATTTTCTTAGTACACAATTGGAGTACCCTGGCTTGGTAAGATACCAAACCTTGATTTCAATGTAATTCGGTGCCTTGAATAACGATCTTCTGGAGTGAAACGTGCAGGGTGTGCACTGAATGTTGGTTTGTTTTCGGGATCGAACGACTGGAAATGAAAGAAACGATAATTACGAAGTTGAAAAGCTACTGGTGCATTTTTAGAGCTAACTGTACTGCAAATACAAGTAAAAATAATTTGCTTAACCAAGTTTACGCTGAAGTAATAAGTATCGTTGACTTCTAATAACAGATCCAACGTATAACCATGATCTCAATCATAACTATTCCTAACACAATTTTTCTTTACAAAACACTAGACGTCAATGCAGATTTGTTAAGAGACCTGCCTACACGTCTAAACAATCAAGTGGTACGGAAACCGGGAAACAACGATTGTCTTGAGACTTTTACTTACCCAAGAATGGTTTTGATTTGCAAGGTAGTATCGAGTGTGTCTACTTTAAGATCTCGCAAGTTCATGCTTTAGTGACGCTATCCCTGAAAAACCCACATTAGATAGATCAAAGATTACAAGTCTTAAGACCTACCGCCGACGAGTGTTTGTAATTTTTAGATACATTGTTTCTTATCCTGATGACATTGCTGAGAAAAGTTCGGTCGATAACATAAAAAGTAATCGGTAGCGATCAAATTTTTCATTGGAAATTTACAAAAGTACTAGTGCATGTTTGAGTGTCATTGAGCTTAATGAAAGAATTAGTAACTCCGGATGTTTAGGTTTTAAAACCGTCTACATGTAGTCAGGTCAGTTATCACCGTCACTCATGAGTTTTAGGGTGAATCAATACTGCTAGAAAGGTAAAATTAACACAATATAGAACCAGATAATACGTCGGTGAGAGAAAAGCCCTGTGAAGCATTAGAGAAAGTACTTAAGAAGTAGGAATACGGACAAACCAGGAACCGCTTGAATAAGGAAACAAACAAGATAAATTTAATATATAATCAGGAGATGCTAATCATCGAATACAAATTTATGTACTTAGCTTTCGGTCAGACTTTGTGCACGAAGGCTAGGCCGCTACTACTGGCTTTATTCTTATTGTACGGCGCATACGTATTTGGTGCCCCTTTGTACTAATATTTATGTTCAAACAAATAAATAAATGCGGGCTAGTGATACTGACCGGCTGTTTAAACTAAAGTCGGTGGAACGACACTTGAACCTGCAATCTAGTAGTTGAAATATGAGCCCTACAATCCCCGAGCCACGGTTAGGAGATAATGAATACACAATTGTATGAACGAAGAATATTCTTTTCAATAATTTCTCATCAGGTTCTACAATCATAATCCATAAAATTGGCCAGATTTAAGGCAAACTACATCATTTGGAAATTGTAATATGTGAATCAGGAATTGTTTGTTATATAAATAAAATCGTTAATGTTCGGATGACTAATATGAAGTGTTAACTTGAATCAGTTTATAAGCGAAATGAAATCGTGAGATAAATTATCAGAATAAATATGGTCGACATGTGGTAAGAGAGAGAGAATATTGTGATTACAAATCGGAAATTGCGTAATATGTAAAGTAATTAGGTCAAATATAGTAGATTCAGAGGTGGATATTGAATAAATTCCTCAGAAAGGGGGTATAATAATAATAATAGTAATAATAAGTTTGGGACATAAAATGAACATTAATCAGATTACGTCACCACATTATAAGATTGGTTATTAGCTAGTTGGCCAGGGTAAAAGGAGCGGCTGAACATACTTCTTTTGGATACAAAGTTCTGGTTTTTTTTATCCAAATAGCAATTGCTTCAGCCGTCTGTAGGATTCGCAGTCTGACGGAATTAGGTAGACTGCTGTTGACACGATAGATTATTGCAAAAGATTGCTCTATGTCCTGTTTGGACTAAATGGTCTAAGATGGAGCTGTTAACAGTTTTGACAACACTTTTGCTTAACCACACGGGTAGGTGCTCACGAGCCCGAATGTAAAAATTCCTAAAACATCTGCCAATATAACTTGCTCCACAGGAGCAGTTGAATTGATAGATACAGAAGGAGGTGGCTAGTCTAGGTAATTTATCTTTTAACCTCGGAGTGATTATTGGTCGTGTGGAGAATACTAGTTGTAGTTTAGCTGCATTAAATGTCCTTTGGATTGATCTCCTTAACATTTCACTCGGTGCGTCGCCTCTGAATTGTAAGCGTATATATAGAGGCTTTTTATTTACCGTTGGGCATTCTCTATGCTGTCTTTTATTGGCTAAGTTCTTATTTATAAATTTCTCCGGATATCCATTTTCCTTCAGGGTTGTAAATAATGTCTTTGTTTCATCTTCAATCGTATCCATAGTGCACATAGTCTTGATTCTATGATGTAGTGTCTTAATAAGGTTCCTTTTTTGTTGTAGAGGAACGAAAAGGAAATTGGATTAGATGCGGTCTTAGTGACCTGAAAGCGTGACCGTAGTGCTCAAGGGACAAATGCTTAAGGTCGGTCACACACGACCTTTTCATGGGTAATTTTTGTGTTAGCTCCATACTTGCTGAGACCTTGCCACCGGAGATGGATATCCGTGGGATAAGGAGAGGTGTGCATTTTTAGGGTCGACCTTTTCTAATCCCACCCCTCCTTGTGGGAAGGCAGCATCGCTGTCATGCTGGTTGTCTGAAGGAAACACCTTACTGCTGTCACACCTCTCTACAGTCAGCAGTACGACTTCGCTTTCGGACCTTAGGTTTGTTGCTTTTAGTCTCACCGCTCTTCAACCGACCTGTCTGACATGGTAGGACCTTGAGGAACGGTTGTTCTAGCCAGTATAGCTCGGTTGCTTCATCACGATAGGCAAGCCCGACCACCACGTCAACGTAGCAACAACAGTCGGGGGTTAAGAGAAGAAACATACTATTGATGGATAAAAATAATGATACCGAAATTTACTAAACGAATAAAGAGTATCCAGATACACAACTTAGGCAAGTACAAAACCAAGACAAATTTTACCAACAAGAAAACTTAACCGACTGTTGTCGAGTTAAGTTGCTTAGAGTTGTGACGATCGGATAGATGCCAACCTGGAACGACTACCCCTAATTACAGAGTTATGTAGAAAGGCTGTATTTTTGCTTTTTACGTGCAGAGCTAGTAGGCGTTAACGTGTGGTAATATCACAAAGGAGTACAGCAGCTCGCCTTAAATCACACTTCATGACCAACTGAAAAAAGAGCTCACATCAGAAGGTCCATCTTTAAACAAGGAAACGGGCAGATTTTGAAAAGAGCAGGAACAAAGATTCTAGCAGGATAGCATGAAATAAAATGGGTTCATGCTATTCTACTAGAATCTTTGTTCTTGTCCTTTTCAAAATGATAAAGGGAACTATGTGTATGAAACGGGCACGTTGTTATTTGTCGGTAATTTTAATAATAATCTTCGTCAGAAATGATGACAACGGATATTTCTAACGTACGTTTCATCTTGAAAACCAACAACTACACAACTTTGGGTGACAGGTTCAGCAGTGAACCTACCTAACCTTTCTTGAAAATAAGAGGCAAGTGAGGGGTTTAACGATTAAGTCCCAGTCAACGACCCCACGTTTAGTACCTGAGACTTTGTGATGATACGTTCGCTAAATTGAACAGCATATGAAGGATAACTGCTTTCAGCTACGATCGTATGAATAGAATTGAAAAAAGAAAGCATCCCTGCATGACAATTAGTCATCTTAGTAACCAAACGGCACTATTAGCTTTGGTGAGGTCAGTAATAAACCACGTAGGAAATATTCCAGGTAAGCATCATAACAGTGAGGAAATGTGCCATGAAAAAGCAGAGATAAGATGAAGTTATGGTGATCGACGCTGATTAGATAAAAACAACTGTTCAGGAAGAAATGAAATTTATTGACTACATTATGAAGAATAAGCACACTGTTGGTTAATTTTTAAAGAAATAAGTGTCTACATACCCTAGGCATTTCAAGTGATACGATAAACAATCTTTAACAATGAAGTTTCATTTGTTTTAAATGTTTAACCACGGAATAATTACCATTATTAGCTGCGACTACCGATTAATCTTATGGAACTTAGACAACAAAAAAACTTAAATTGTTTCTACAGCATTGTGATAAGCATAAAATTTACTTAGACTTACTTTCAGAGTATACACTCTGTCCCCATTGGAATCTAAGTAGTAGCGCAGAAGCATGGTTTCGACAACAACCGCGTTCACTGTACAGTGGTCAATAGTTTTAGTGTCAGTTTCAGTTTGGAAAGGACAAGAGGTTTGGTGGCCTGTGTTAATCCTGGCAATGGTGGTCTCTCAGTCGATCCAAATTTTTCTTGAAAAAATCGACGGATGGAGCCTCAACCACGTGCTGAGGTAATGAATTCCACTCATTGATCATTCGATGGGAAAGTCTATAGTCAGCTGACAAGTTATTTGTCCTGGCCTTGTGAACTTTTTTGGAGTGCCCTCGTAAATTCTCTGTTTTGGAAGACAAGAAAAATGGGGGCATATCAGGTGCAAATTTGGCACTAAGCAATTTGGAAACTGCAATCAAGTCGCCTCTAGTTCTGCGATATGACAACGGGAAAAGGTTCAACTTCGTCAGTCGAGCTTCATACGGAAGCTTCACTATTCCGGGAATCAGCTTAGTTGCCGTTCTCTGAACCTTTTCCAGAAGCTCACTATCTTTTTTAAGCAGGGGCTGGCCGCTTGTATGCAGTACTCAAGTTTAGGACGTACGAACACTGTATACAAAGTCAAAAACGTCTTAGCGTCGACATGACTAAAAGCCCCACGTATTGACCATAAGGTTCTAAAACCTTGGGCGGCTTTTGCACGGCAGTGTGCAGTAGTCTTTAGGTCTTGGCTAACGATGACTCTCAGGTCATTATATGTCTGGATGACAGGTAGCTCAGTGTTATTCATCATGTATGTATCTGTACCTTGGTGACCGATATACATCACAACACACTTATAAGTATTTATCGGCAACTTCCAGGTTTGAGACCCTTCAGATAATGTCTTCAGGACATTTTGGAGTTCTAAGCTATCATCCCTACATTGTATCGTTCTCCATATCTTGACATCGTCAGCATATAGCAAGACCGATGATATGAGACCAGGAAGGTCATTTACATAGCACTGGCCCCAAAACTGTACCCTGGGGCACTCCACTAAGCACAGTTTCCCAGCCAGATAACTTTGAGTTCACCCGTACTATTTGTTGGCGCCCAACTAAGTCTTTTATCCACATCAATAGATTGCCTCAAATTCCGACATTTCTTAGCTTATATAACAGCCGATTGTGTGGAAGTTTGTCAAAAGCTTTGCTGAAATCAATGTAGGTCACGTCTACAGGTAAACTTTGGTCCTTAAGAGCGCACCAGATTTCACGAGCCACTAATAAGTTAGTGAGACAGGAATAACCTATTCGAAAACCATGCTGTTTCTCCGAAAGGATCCGGTTTTCATCGAGGTACTTAAACAGCTCCTTCCAAATAATCTTTTCTAAGATTTTAACAACCACACTAGTTAGGCTAAAGGATCGGTAATTCTCAGGTTTATGTTTCATACCTGTTTTGAAGACAAGACTTACTATGGCGTCCTTCTAGTCTTTTGGTTTCTTTGTTTCTTTAATTTCTTCTTTCGTTTAAGGTCTCATAATGATAAAGCATAAAAATTATCATTTTAAATTTCTGTTCTTATTGTTACTCAATGAAATTTTGTAGCTAAGCCCAACGGTCTAGCTTCCTCCTGATAAACAAATACGTTTAGTAGGGTTTAGAGTCCCATTTGTTCGTTCAACAGGCCTGAAGCCCTCTAGATGGTATACAGTTGTTCGCGTCCTGTGAATCGCCAAATATTGATAGTCCTTCAGAAAGTATGATTTCGAACTTGATACTTCTATGTGAATGCAAATGAATTGGGGCACCCCAAGGGTAACCCTAATCTCAAACAGCTCTTTAGCTACGGTTTGAGCATCCATAGCTTCTAGAGGGAGTCACCCAACATTACCTTATAAAGGGATCAAACATAACCAAAATATACTTATTTTCTCTGTCAGTTTCCCGTAATGGGTCAGTAATGTCAATCCTTACTATCTTGTTCGGGTAACCTGGTTTCACATTTACTAAGAAAGCACGCATGCCGTTCTTTAGGCCTTTAGTAATTTGGCAAATCTTGCATGTGGTGACATTATTCCGCATGTCTTCCCTTTGTTATGACCGCCAATATCTACGTTTCGCGACGCGCATCATTTTAATTTGCCTCCATGCCGCAAGTCTTCAGGAATGTTTTTCTAACACGTCGCCATCCCTTGGTTATCAACGATATGACCTATGGATTTAAATCACTTTCTCAACAGACGACATGTCTATTGTTGTACTTTCGAACCAAGTTTCTGAGGGCGTTGTAAAACTATATGCAAATTTTCTAATTGTTCTCAAACAGATGCTCCATGTACTATGACATTGTTCAGATACACCAAACAAGCGCGTGGCACCAACTTACATGGTGTTCTGTTCATTAGTCGCTGGAACGAGCATTAGCTATCCTGAACGGCATTGTTCGTATAGACTTAATTGTGTGATGAAAGACGTATTGTATTGATCATCAGGATATACTTCGACTTGCCAATAACCAGATGATAATCCAGTGTTGATAACCACTCCGAACTGACCGATTCATCTAAAGTATCGTGACAATGGGAATGAATCACGTTCTGTAATCTCATTCAGTTTTTGACGAGGTTTCCTATATGGTTTTGTATTTTGATTGTCCATCTAATGAGCCATAGCCCTCATATGTCTAACATCTTTAGAATCCCAAGCAAATATATCATAGAATATTTTTACGTTCCTTCTAATAATTGCACACGCTCCGGAGGGCAGTTCGCAAGTTAAGACGACATATCACTTGTTTCGATTTTATTAGCAATAATCGTTATTTGAAAACTAAGAGTGTCTTTTCCATCGTCCCTACCCAGTTTCCAAACTGAATTCTGAATGATAAAAATCTTTAAATTCACACATCGTCCAAACTTCGTTAACAAATCTGCACCTAAAATAAGGTCTTAAGATAGATTCTGAACGAAAGACGTATTGTATGAAAGACGTATGTATGAAGGTCGATTGGTTGAGGGTTGGCTGCCATGTTATTTTACCTTTAACAACCATTTAAGTGCAGTTGGTTGCGTTCAGACGTACATTATGAGTATCATATAGAGACATATCATTAGTAACATGAGTAGTGTTAATTAAAGAACATACTGCATCCGAACCTAACAAAATAGTAGCTGGACAGTTAAATGACTCTTCACATAATGTTGGGACGAAGAGTTTTTAACCACAAAGCAAAACTAATGGATTATGTAACATGCCTGCCGTTGAATTCCTCTTGCATCATCAAATGGACCTCCAATATTTTTTGAGCGAAAGCTCACTTTCTGTACATGTCTAACTTGCAAAGCTCGCTGCGAAACCTTGGTCCCACTGTGGTATCCTGGCTCTTCAAGATATGCGACCATGGACACCACTCCCTCAAAACCGCCTCATCAAGAGCAGCTTAAAAGATTTCAGGGGCTCGTCTCATAAGTTTATTTCACTGCAACTTCAAGTCCATACCGTCAATAAATCTATTAGGGACAACCTCTTCGAGGTTAGTCACATAATAATTTAGAAATACTGATATTGCCAGTTCTTGAAGACGTCTAATGAAGCAGACGAGCATTCGCCTTTACTTTACTGAGCATGATGAAACTTTTCTAGTCAAATTGGGAACTTTTCAATGTCTGGATACTATTTGCATTTCAGTAAAGGATTGTTTGCATCCTTTGACGATTGAATTCCAATATTCCTAGATTCTAAAAAGCTTCTTTTAAAAAGAGAGTGCTATAATGTTTTGAATTATTTGAATTGTATTATGAACTAGGAATCCCAGAATTAACGCAATTGAATTAAGAAGTAAGACACAAGCACAAACGAATGTATTGTATTTGGAATTCGAAATCAAGCATTCAACAAGTACAAAGGTATTATTAGTTCGTTCAAATACCACAGGTGCCTAATACGCAGGTATGTCGATTGCTAGTAAAGTTCATCAAGTATTGTCGACGTTGTAGCTATTATAATGAAAGCCATTCCCCTCAGTAATTTTTAGGTGTTTTATCTTGCGGCCTATAAGTATATAACGTAATAATACTGCCAATTAGAGAACAGTAAATTCTCGACCAGACAAACGATGCATAAAACTGTGCAAGTCGTCTAGATTCTTTATCGGTCCTTCTCCTTACCTAGCCCTGCCTGTTGAGTCCAGAACACTAATCTCACCTTTCTCTATATGAATAATGTAATGACAATCTTTCTTAGCATTCCCCAATTAAGATAGAAAAAATATCGTTGATAAGTAATGAAATGAGTTAGGAATCAGGATTTGACAGACAAGCCTCCACAGCTATGCTCAACAACGGATATATATGTACCTGCAAGATTATGGTCTAATTCGACAGTATATTTACCTCTGCTAACACAAAAATAAACCCTAACCTAAAAATGTAGATATGTCGTAACGTGACTATCTAGTCTATAAGGTCTTACATGGGATTCACATTATCATATGCACCGACTCGTCCTATCCTATCAATCAACGTTATGACGTCCTGCACTTCTGAAGAACACATTTGAACTGAGGAGAGAGTAATGTGTTTGATACAATAAGAAAGAATGACCGCGCCTACACGACCGAGCCATGCCACTTAGATTAATTGTTCCCGCGTTCATTGTTGTTGACCCTCCCTTAGTGTTACATATTGTGTGTGAATCTCAGTAGTTACACACTCAGACTCAAAAATCATGTTGTTAGGAACTAATACCACCACACACTGATATTCATTACTTATTTTACTGAAACAGAAGCATTGGTACCAGTGTCAATTATTTTACATTATGACGATAAATTAAGGTATTGCACTTATGTCCAAACACACTCGTCTTTAGACATATCAAAATAGATACCATGATGTCAGCCGGTCTTATTGGAGGCATAGGAAATCTGATACATCATGCTTTTCGAGCGCTCTTGTACCTGGCACCACATACGAAAATCCAGGTACGTTTATTGATCATTCAGTTTTTCTCCTGTAGTGGCAAAATTGTCTACGTAACTTGTCTTGATTTTTGAACAGGTTAATCATTCTAATCTAATTAGTCATTATGTGAACTTGCATATGTGTGTCTGTTATCTACCCAAGTCAGTTGACCATTGTTCACCTAAAATATTCTCGTTTATGTGTATATTCGTAATTCTGTATTCACACTTACCTGGGAAATTACTCGAAACTTCACAATAAATATATACCAGTGGTTTACAAAGTCATATACCTTTTCTTAAACGAAGTATTGCACCGAATCAATAAGAGGAAACTGTTACCTCTCACAGAAACCCAATCACAACCTTAGTTTAAGCACTTTTTTTAAACACAAATTATATTAACTTGTCATTTTATTAAAAAGGTATATAGGACGAAATATTTATACAAAAATGAAGTAATGAACCAGTCATTGGAACGAGACATTGAACAAAGTAACAAATCTAGTTTAGATCAATAACAAGATCTGACTCGTCTTCATGACATGGTGACGCCAGTTCGTATAAAACTGATGGTAATTTGTCAGGAATGGCTGGAGTTCCTTCCAAAAAAGGAGAAGTCTCGTGATTGTCATGTGTTATAGTAGGGGTAGTAGCATTATAAGAAACAGTATGAGTATTTTCTGAACAGGGTATATCGATGGAAACATCAGTATCCAATTTCTTATTCACAGGAGAGTCTGGAAATGATTTAGTGGTATCAGCTTTGTTCAACAGAGGGGTGGTATTGACTGCAGCTTTCAAGGCATTTTTTAATATATGATTTGTAGCTGAAACAAATAAGAATAAATTTAACTAGAAATAAATATTCGTTCCATTTTTAGCAATAATCTGAAAAGTATTTTACTTAGAAAAATAAAATGTATTGGAAATAAAATTGATTGTTTGCAGGAAAAAAGGGAACATGCCATATATGAGGTTAAACGTCTTTACTACATATGTGGATAATAGAAAGTATGTAAAAAAGACTTTCAGATTAACCTCCTTAGATGATACAATTTTTATCAAATTAATATTATTTACTTAGAAAAAAAACAGAATTATCTACTGTTTAACATCCATAGAACAAAGAGCGAAAGAATACCAGGGTCACCAAAAAGTTATAGTCACATGGTAATTATTTAATCGCTGTGAAAATAAAATATTCTTATTTTAAGGTTAAAGAGTTATTCGATTCAATTGAACTGGTTGATGAAAAATATTACTTCCTAATTGCTTTTGATTAAATTTTCTAGTGATGTTTGGTGTCTGGATGATGCTATTTTGGGCGTTATTGGAATGAATAAATAATATATTAGTAATATCCCAATGAGTAGAAAAATTAGATTTTCTGACGTTTCGTGACTCAATGTAAGCGACTTCTTCAGAGAATGAATAGCCAAATCAAAATTAATCCAAGTTTAAATAGTACAACGAACAGCAAGAATATAATGTAACCAATCAAACCTGTTTTTTATTGGTCACATTATATTCTTGCTGTTCGTTGTACTATTTAAACTTGGATTAATTTTGATTTGGCTATTCATTCTCTGAAGAAGTCGCTTACATTGAGTCACGAAACGTCAGAAAATCTAATTTTTCTACTCATTGGGATATTAAAAATATCTTAATTTATTTATAACAATCTACGCAATGATCAGTTTATTCGAAATTATCAAGTCAAACCTTGGTAATGATATCTCGTTATTGGAATATTGGGATTACACTTGAATACAAATCTTAAGTATTGTTTATTATTTTTTATTTAATTTTTTAGCTGACCACCAGTTATCAGCATGATGAATCTGCAATCTTCATAAAACTGATATGATCCGTTGACTTCTAACCGGTAACTACTACTCACTGATCAATAAGATCAAATATCTCAGATCGTTCGCGGATATGATAGCTCGATATTTACATCTCTGGATTTGACACTGGGTAAAGTGGATTAAGATTATACAGACACCACTGGTTCTCTTAAAAGTGATACCGTAATCTGTCGGTTATGAAGCTCTAAGATTTTTCATAAATTATCTCCTAACGCATCAAAAATAAATAGCACATGTTTAAATGAATCTATTAGGAGTAGAGACCCCACTGCATATATATATATATATATATATATATATATATATATATAATGACTAAATAAATATAGGAGCTTTTGTAATACTCATTGATTGACTAGTGAAAACTTCAGAGATGTGACCTCACACCAACTATACGTCCAAAATGATAAAAAAGCAACGTACACAATTGTAATTTTCCATTATTAATTGTTTCAGAACGAGCTTTTCGAGCTGCAAGTCGTTCTAACGCTAAACGTTTATTTCTTTCAGCTCTTGACTCAAAATCAAATGAAGTAGATGGTTGCACTTGTGGTGATTGTATGTTGAAGCTGCCAGTTGAATCTTCAGTTTCATTTTTATGATTCAATTCTTTTCCGTAAACATCATTTATTGTAGATGGTGATTTTGTAGAATTGATTGCATCCTATAAGACAGTGAAAATGATTGGAATTAAGAAAACAAGTTTTAAACAAAGTCAATAAAGTGAAAATATATAAAAATAATATACATACACACATATAAACTTTTAAGAAATTCTATGTGAAATATCGTTTGAACAAGGATAGAGAAAAATATTTGTACATAACAATGGGTGAACGTATTGTTTTAAAGGTAGTGATATAACTTCAACGCGTTATACGTTAACAAATAATAGGAGTTCAGAAAGTTACGAGTGTTTTCCCCATTTCTGGTCACTGAGAATAAAACATAAATCCAATCCAAGATATTGAATTTACTCACAAAAATGTAGTATCAACTGAAAAACTGGTACCGATAAAAAGAACAGGGACGTGGCTGAATTTTATAATTTACATCATCATGAAATGACCTTAGTTAGACAGTCACTGAAAACTAAAGAAAACACTAGATAACTCCTTTGTCTCAGTATGAGATCGGTCAACAGTGTGTATCCACTACCCTAACCCAGATCGAATCCAGGATCTGGATATCTTACAGTGAACACGTGACCTTTGGACCAATGAGTTGGCATCTAATGATCTACATCTCTTACTTCAATCAACTCATGATATTTTGCAACCATCTTCCAATAACATTGAAAGGTAATTAACTGCCTATCACTCAATATGATTAGACTCGACTAGTCATTGTCTCATACTAAGACTCCAGGGACTACCTCCCTAAATTAGTCATTGGTGAGGACATGAACGTTATTATTTTATAGTTTAGATCATGAACCGACCTTAGTTAAAAAGCCATTGGAAACCAGGAAACACTGAACAGTCATTTCATTCCAGAATGGGACTATCGAAGAGTCCCATAATACGATGAAACGGCAATTCAGTGCTCCCCAACTTTCAGAAGTTGTCTAATCAAAGTCATATCATGAGGTAAATTATAGGAAGATAGCAATACTTGGGACTGGTAATTTGATTCCATTATGACGAAAAAAGCTATCAGCAGTGATTGTATATTCTTCTATATTCACTATTGATAATAATATCAGTATATCAACAGGTTAGGATACAAGCAAATAGACACGTTACAATGAACTCGAAATAAATGAGTGTTGATGTAAAGCATCGCGTCAAGGAGTGCATTAGAACTGAATGTAAGAGTCAGAATAGTAATAATAACATATTGGTAGGTGGACTAACGAGTGAAAACCTGAGAGAACCAATTGAAAAAGAAATGAAAGATCCGAACTTAATAAAAGATAAACCAGTCAACGATTTCAATTTATACACAATCGACTTGCCTGATAGGATTGAATAAATCATATACTACGTCAAGTTTGTATAATAAGAGAGAGATATTGTAAGTGAATTACTCACTCGTTGAGGATTATCACCCGCATATCTCTGTATGAGTCAGTTCGGTAATCTATCCCTCTCTTTCTATAGATATAGATAAATAACCCACCGACATCACGAACCGGTTTAAGCTGGCCAACCAATGAAGATTTATGAGCACTGGATGGCCGTTTCGTTTTAGTATGAGACTCCTCAGAAGTGCGCACCCAAGACGCTCAGTCTCGATAGCGAACCTCAAACCTCTATTAGACCACTGAGTCTAGATCCAATGGTGTATAAAAGTCTAACTTCAATCAATCAACGATATATATAAACGCAAAGGTTGTAGTCATATTTATTCGGCCCAATTCATAGTCTTGATCCTCCATCGCTTCATTTATGGTTGCAGAGTTGCACGAGCGTGACCAAACGAAACCGTAAAACACAGCAATTGTACCGGGTATACACAATCAATGATTACGGTTCTCTGATGAACCTAATCAAAGAGGCCTATAACTCAAATCTGTGCAAACTGGACTAATAGCCAACTAATTTATGAGCTCATTTTATTTGGCCTTTTAATCACTTTTACTTCAACATAATTCATTCCTTCGGCATCAAGCCAACATAAAACTCACAAGCTGATCTACCACTGGTATAAAGTACTACTCTATAGTCAAACTAATGGTTCAACAATAAATATTTTATGACTAGGATACAAATAAATAATGATGTGTATAAAAAAAGAGGAACACTTGTTGATTCAGAAGTTTCCCGGTTAAACCACTGATAGCATAGAACGAAAAATAATCGAAGAGGTAGTAATCATAACAAATTGAAATTAGTTTGGAAGACAAGTAAGAACTAAAGAGAGAAAACTTGGTTGTCATTTTTTAGCATCCTAATTTCGAACTGATAAATAATATGGATCTAAGTACTTATCCTTTATTAACTGAATATATGATCTTTTTATATGGGCTCTTCAGTAACATCGTAAAATATAGTTCTTGATTTAAGCGATTTGACAAGAAGCAACTAAATTAGAGACGAATATTTTCACTCACTACTGACCAACCAAACAGGAAGAAACATTTGATGACTTTTTATTTTAATCTTATGTTGAATAAAAATGTACATAGTTGTATTTTTTGTAAATATTAATATTTCTCAGTTATAGGCCATATCCTTCTATGATATTGAGATATATGGTTCTGGGAATAGCAGTCATATTTGTTGTCAATTTGTATCGTTGTATTACAGAACGTTACCAATAACTAACTGTGATAATCTTGCAAACTATAGCAAAGTAGTATGAACTTACAAACATGGCTCAGTCCAACACTCAATGACTTCAAACACTAATGTCAAATCTTGGTTTGTTAGCCCCTAACTCTCTTCTAACCTACTCTCCTACATTAACGAAGATTGAACAATAAGGTGGACGATAGTTGGGTATATGTAATACATCAGTCTTTGAAGGTTCGTTACTTCATGGACTAATTTGCTATCTTCGCCTATACTAATATCGTGAACTAGGCTACACGAATAGAAACCCATTTACCTCAGGAACAGATTCTAAAGCCCGTTTCCATATTACATCCGGATCTTCTTGTTCTGATGTGCTTTCATTATCAGATGGTACTGCTTGTTCTTCACTTGTATATGGTGGCCAAATACCATTACGAAGTCGATGTAAAGCAACACGTATTTCACGTTTACTTCCAACACTTTCCAAACGATCTATAACTTCAGGAAAACTCATTCTAGGTACCAAACGATGACTCCATGCTTCATAAACAAATAATAGTCTATTCAAATCTTGAAACTTAAAAACACATATACATATATAAAAATAACTAGTAAACATTTGAAAAAATTGTAAAAATGAAAATAATTACAATAACAAAAACAGAATTACAAAAACAATTTTAATTATCCTTAAAGCTTATTGCATTCATGTAATTTGATGTGTAAAGTACAAATTTATGTAGTCAGCTTCAGGCTTCATCAGTGATTTTATGAGAACAACTATAACAATGTGAAACTGATCTTCCTAAATTGAAATGGACGGATCACGACTTAAACCATGAAGCTACTAAACCTAACTCAGTATTGTGAATTACACACGCGTATAATGTACAATATACTTCGCGTATGGAACATTATTTCATATTTTCTAACATCTTAACAATTTTTTACTAATATTGTGAAATAAACATGACAAAACAATCTCCTTTAATAGTTGAATTCATGTGTCGATCTAAGCTAGACGAACATTGAAAATCTGGAATCACTAAAAGGCCTTTCCACAACAGGATGAAACGGCCGTCCAGTGCTTCCAGGTTTTCGCTGATGGTCTAGCTTAGGTCGACTCATGAATTCAACTGTTACAATACTACAATCTTCACAAACCCCCATTCTAATAACAATTTCTTTTAATTTATATTTTTTTATTAAGAAGTATCATAATCCTAAGCAGTCAAATTCAAAGTGATTATTCCATAAATCTAATTAACGATAAACAGAATTCGTCACTAAGGTAATTGTAAAGACAAAAACAATAGTTATATCAAACTGTTGCATAAAAGTTGTTTTCTCAAAGAACACTTTATATTTGAACAAACGACTCTACTGGATATCAGAACCGCGACATTAAGGCCTTATAACAACAGCCTAACCATTCAATGATTGGGTCTGAAGTGTCGGAAAGTTTCATACTACGATGAAAAACATATTATCCAGTACTTTCTGGTGTTTAATAATACCTTGACTGAATTTAATAGGTGTTGAATTCTACTAAAAATTAAACCAAATACCATGCATATATTTAAAGAAAGTTAAATAGATGAATAGTATTTTTTGTTTGAAGTAAATATTCCTACGTCAATTGAGGTTGATATCTTCGCTTCTGAAAATAACTTAGTTCCGTATTCTTTTTGATGCAACTCAATCTGTTGCAGTGTGATATAAAAGCATTATCTTGGTAAAAGCCTTTTTGAGATCTTCAGTTTCAATAATATTTTGCACTATTATGTTTTGTTAATTCATTTCGTCTTTTCGAACTATAGTTTTTATGTTTGATGTTTCTTATCATAATTATTATTGATATTACCGTCATTTCGACTCTTTGAAATTCTTATCTCGTCAATTTCATGTGGCCGCACAACACAGTGTGACAAATCGGATCGAGGTATATTTAATCCAGTTTCTACGTTGATCATCATAAAATTCACTTTATATTGACATTTCGGACATTCCCAGGTAGAGAATGTCTAACAAGTTTTAACTTATTCAGTTTACTGAATGAAAATATTTTTTCTTTAATCACTGATGTGTATCTACATAAATACAAAATTTTGTGGGTCATATTTGTCACACAATGATGTAACCCGACATCCAACTGGAAACTAGGGCACTGGACAGCTCTTTTGTCTTAATATGGAACTCCTCAACAGTGTGAATACACTATCGCATCAGAGATTGAACCCAAAGACTACAGTATTCGTTGGAAACTCTTGACTACTACTAAACAACTAAATGGACACGGTTGTGAAGTCCTGCACTCGAAAGAAACAACTCTCTAACGTTCTCTGATTTTGAATAGAATGCCAACTTACGTAAATTTTTGATGAATACCACTAATAGATTAATTCAATCTGCACAAAATTCATTTACTATATTTATGAAAAGACAGATATTTTCCATACACCTACCTCATAGCCTTTACCTCGAAATTTAACTTTTTTGAAATCTTCCAGCAGAGCCGGCAAACCTTTGTTACTCAATAATCTAATGAAATGAAAGTGAAAGAATAATAAAAAAATAGATAAGCAGAACATTTGAAAAATTCAAGTAATCTCGAGAAATATTCAGCTCTAAAACGTAATAGAGGTTTACCAATGTAGTTAAAGACATTACTAATGAGATTAAACCCATGTATATATCATGAAATCGTTAATGTTGAGATGGCTAATATGAAGCGTTGACTTGACTGAGTTTATACGTTAAATGAAATTGTGAGATTAATGATCAGAATAAATATGGTCAACATGGAGTGAAAGAGATAATAATTTAATTCATAGTTTAAACTTACCTTATTCACACATATTATTATTATGACGCTAGCAAAAGTTTTAAGGAATTCATTCAGCATGCACCCTTATTTACCCATTAGTACCTAATTCATATTATTCTAAATATTAAGTGATTTCTGATTTCTTATTACATTATTCTCTCTCAGGCCATATTAACCATGTTTATTCTGATCATTTATCTCACGATTTCACTTAACATATAAACTTATTCACCACAACATTAACGATTTGATTTTACTGAACAATCCTAAATTTACATGCTATAGCTTTTAAACGATGTATTTTACCTTACACTTGGACACTATTTGGATATATAATTGTAGAAACTGATGTGAATGATGGTAAATCAGTTGATAAGGATGTGAATCTTCATCGACTGAGATGATTGGGCCACGTGTTACGTATGCCTAAACACCGATTACCACGATGAGCAATGCTGACTAGTGTTGAGGATGGTTGGAAGTTAGGTGTGGCAAAACCAAAATGTGACATCAGCGCTTGAAGTCACTAACTTCTAGTCTGAGCCATATTGGTAGATGCAGACTACTTGGTTGAGGTCCGCTTGACTGTCGTAACCAATGGTTGGAGACTGTAGGTGACATAGCTCAGAATCGATCACAATGGCGTCGGTGTATAGACTCTCTGTCTTCCCTTAAATTATGAGATTAAAATCGCTTCATATCTTTCTTCCTGTACTATGTCCTTATATGCAATCATTCTTTTATATATTACCACCACTGAATTAACTACTTCTATGAATCCGGTGTTCATCTTGCTGTGCTAATGAGGTATGGCAACTTGGACCGATGCATATATGTGCCTGGTCAGCTTCACAATAGACCATAGATTCAATGAAGAACAGACAGAGAAAAATATTTTCACACTTATTTTTCTAATATGAATTGGATACTGATTTTCTAGTTTAATTATCAAACCGAAAGAAACATTAATACCAATTACATTGAGATTCTGAATTTCGAAAACTTTATCACTCAAGTTGTTATAACTTGTGGGTTTGTGCTCCTATCAATGTATAATGTAATGGTACCGCCAATTAAAGAACAGTGAATTATCGACAGGACCAATGACGCATAAAACAAGTATGAGCAGTCTAGGGTCATTATCGATCCTGCTTCCATGCTAGTCCTGCCTATCAAGTCCAGAACACCGATCTCAGCCTCTGTGATATGAATCATTTATTTCAAACATACTGGGTTTATATACCAACCAAACAGACCACATTGTACCATAAAATAGAAAACAACATTTGTACAAAATTTAACCAAATGTGGCTGTGAATGTGGGAGACTGTAATTGATAAACTGGGAATAACTTAAGAACGGTAAATCGTATAATAATAGTTTAAAGGTCAAAATAAAGCTTATAATAAGAGGAACACAAACATGAATAGTTTAGTTATTTAACAATTATACGACAAAAATATACGTATAGTATTGACACATAAATGGATCCCAAAAGTTACCATTCATCATTCTCGTCGGGATATAACTATGTTTACACAACATTTGGCACAGATAAAAGTCGCATTACGACAAATAATTCGCATAAATTTTTTGAGATGCACTGGTTAGTTTTATTCGAGGTGTCGCTATTGTTTTAATGGTGAATTGAGTTTATTGGTATGAGTGGTGCGATTATGCAGTAAGAATCTTATAGCTAGTTTATGATTTTAGAAATATACATGAATTTAAGTAGAGGTGGGTAGTGGACATCACTGGAATCCAGGAAGAGCGTCTCGTGATATTTGGAACTCGTCAGCTGGGTGTATCTGCATGACAGTGCTGATATTCACTCGTAAATGCGAGTCTAGTAACCATCCACTATAGACACCCAAAGTGTTATCTGGACTCAGTAGGTCAGTTGATAGCATGTTGGGCACTAGAAGGGAGAGAAATTGGGTTCGAGTTCTGAAGTAGACATTAACTGTGGGATGCAGGCAAATCCAGTTTACGAGTCCCATACATGATGAAAAGCGAGTTCGGAATTCGATTGTTACCCACTATCCTCCATTAGTTAAAAGTACTTGTTAATTAATGGCCATATCGAGATTTACATACACTAATCAAAACTGGCCAAAATCCAAAAATCAACAAAAACTTACATATGTATGATTTTACATCATTTTGTACCGAATAAACATAAAATCTGATACAATCGAGTATCAGAAAAGTATGTACCACACTAATAAGGAGATAGAGTTGTGAAGAAACGAAGAAGAATAGTAGAGTACAATTTAAAAAATAAAGCAAACGAATAAGAACAGTGTACAACGTGCGATGAAGTACAATAATAAAAGACTTACAGTTAAATAAGTTACTTGAACTTTCATGAAAACAGTAAAACAATACTACAGAAGATTCGCCATTAGCTTCTATTCTGAACCATATCTGATAACGTCTCAAATTAATCAGTTGCATCATATATAGAACCCCGATAGATCTCAGTTCCATACAACATTCTTGCAAATATGAATGATAGTTGCATCTTTTAATGAATTTCCTACCAGACTTTACTACGTAATTTGTGTCCAAGTGACGGTATGTGATCAAATTAGTCGGAAGATATTCAAAGTGAACTATGTTAGATACTTTCGAAAAAGGTAGTTGATAACAACATGGACTATTTATCATCAATTAACAACAGATTATAAAGGTCAGTCAGATTGTGATTACAACATTGTATGATTTCATTTTATGGTGTCACAAGCACTCACTAATTGAATACTCATTTACTAAGTACGGATGCGAGTACTTGCCTTCAAGTCACACTAAGTGTAAAGGCTAGTGGTACTACCGGTGAGACTATAATTTATGGACAACCCTTGCGCAATACTAAACTGATTTAGGGAATGTTCACCAACTACCTAGGACTAAATGAGAGTTATAAACCTGTGGGAAGAATAAAGATTATGATTTACAGTGGATGGTTAGGATTGGGAATTAGATTTAGGGTTTTCATCACGAACTGAAATCAGCTACAATGCCAAAAGGATATTTAGCCAAAAGGATGGACAAATTTCGCACCAAAATCCAAGACCCGTTAATCTAAATCTGATTGGTTCATCTATAAATTGTAGTCTCTCTCCTGTACTATTGAGACACTGCTCATAAGTAATCAATATTGTAAATACACAATGTATATTCATTAACAAATGAATCACTAGAAAACAGAATATACATATCGTCTTAAACTCCTTAACCATAGATGTAATACGGACAAACTGACAATAAATATTTTTCAGTTAAACACGATTTACAATAGGCTTTTATTTTAAATATCTTGATAAAACTGTCATCAATACATACATTATGTTGAATAGAACCAAATCAGATAGATCAGGTGTTATTAAAACCAAAAAAGCAGAAGTTAAGTGGCTCGCAAATAATTTGTTAGCAAAGAGATAGATATAGATAAATCAACGAAGTTTCTCAGAACAGTATAGAATAAATAATACAGGAATATCAATAAAATAGTGAGTAACCTCCTACGTGGATATATATGAGGTATAAAATGTAATGATTACCTTTGAGGATCAAGTTTGGGACGAGGATTCTTGACAACACGTTTCGCTGCTCCTTTGGAAATCTTACGTAATCTCTCCAATACATCAGTGTCCACCGCATCTAAATACAAAAGAATAATAAAAAAGAAAAAACTAAAAGGTCAAAATGTTGACAATCTCTTATTTGAAATTTACACAGGTTGGTGAATTAGTGAATCTTCATCAAATGAGATGGTTACATGTATTATGAATGTTCAACCACCACTTACATAGATGGATGATTTTGCCTAGCAAAGTAAGCTGGGGGGGGAAGCTAGGGAAAACCAAGGCAAAGCAGGACACCAATCCATGAAGTCGTTGACAGTTAAGCTAAATCATGTCGGTAGGTGTAGATTATCTGGTTGGGTTCGGCGGAATTGTCGTAACCAATGGGTAGAGACACTGAGTGAGATGGCTCAAGATCGTTAGCAATGGTGTAGGTGCATCCACTTTTTATCTTCCCAAGATCCCGAGTTTTAGAACCTCGCTACACATGTTTTTATTTTTTGTACTTAATCTTTCCTACTACTCCTGATACTTTACAACATCTACTACCCTGAGTGAGGTTTATCTTGACAATTTAATGGGGCAACTTAAACCGATATATGTCAGGTTTTACGTTCACTATGATTGACTGACGGCTGTTCGAACAAAATTTAATGTTATATGGAATAAAACAGACTAAAACACCCACTACTATGACATATTACATTAGAGGTACATGTGTAAAACCGGAACAATAGTTCAGTGATTGAAATATTTAGTTCCCAACAAATACATCACAAGTTCGAAACAATTTGCGCTACCTACTTAGGTTTGAGAGTAATACTAAATCCCTCACAAGAAAATAAATCGGCTCAAAGCTGAGTACTTGATTGTAATGGCGCAGATACATTCACTACTCTTCTTCCCTAAGATCCTTAGTTTCAAAATTAATTTATACTACAAACCCACTGACTTTTCCACAAACAGTCAGTCAGTGGTCTTGAGTGCTGTTAGAGGTATGAGGGAGGTTATCACTTCCCGGTTGCTCACACCGTAGAAGAGTTGTTCTGGAGGTACCTGAAAAGGAAATTGGATTAGAGGTGGTCTTAGTGACCACAGTGCTCAAGGGACAACTGCTTGAAGTCGGTCACACACGACCTTTTCATGGGTAATTTTTGTGTTAGTTCCATACTTGTTGAGACCTTACCGCCGGAGATGGATATCCGTGGGATAAGGCAATGTGTGCATTTTTAGGGTCGACCTTTTCTAATCCCACCCTTCCTTGTGGGAAGGCAGCATCGCTGTCATACTGGTTGTCTGAAGGAAACACCTTACTGCTGTCACACCTCTCTACAGTCAGCAGTATGACTTCGCTTTCGGACCTTAGGTTTGTTGCTTTTAGTCTCACCGCTCTTCAACCGACCTGTCTGACATGGTAGGACCTTGAGGAACGGTTGTTCTAGCCAGTATAGCTCGGTTGCTTCACCACGATAGGCAAGCCCGACCACCACGTCAAGGTAGCAACAACGGCCGGGATTTTCCACAAACAAACTATTTTTGTTGAGTATTTTCTACTATAACTGACATTACTACTTCTAACATTTTAGTACTAATCTTTACAATTTCGTCTGTTGCTGCGAAGATGTGGTGTGGTAACTTCAACACTGTACATATTATTGAGCCCGGATCTATGTTTCCTATGACTGACTTGGTAGGTGAGCTACACAGTCAATTAACTAATTTATATAGATCAAATATGTGAACTGATCTTAGGCTAGTTCGCTTACCATCATCTGCGCCAGACGGCAGTTCATGTTGGTTATTAGTATTGTATCCTTCGGAAATTTCATTTGGTGAGTAAGCACGTCGTTTGGAGTCGCGTTTTAGGTCATTTTCACGACGACGGTTATTTCTCACATGTGAATCATTAGAATCATCATTGACAACAGATTCCGCTTCGTCTTCAGTAACACCACTGTTAGATTCTTGTTCTGATGATTCATAATTTAAACGTCTTTCGTCATCAGATGATGACGAAGATTCTTCACCTCGTGGGATTCTGGTTGATTCAATTGGAGGGATAGAAGACGGTAAATGAGTGGATATGTCAAGATCTGTATAGTCATTTTCTTTATCGCTAACACTATCATCATCATCCAGCGCAACACGTAATCGATGCCGTGATAGTTTGCCTACTTTTGAAGAATAACTGAGATTGGAATCATTTAACTCAGAAATACGAGTACTGCTTAGCACACGAGAAGCGGAGATTTTAGGGGCGATTTCTGTGGATGCCTATGATTAATATTAGTAGAAGAAATATGAATTTAAAAGGTGAATAATTACCGAAAAACAAAATGTTTTAAATTAGTCCTATAAATGATATTATTAAGTAACAGTATACACGATTATGACGTCAATTTTGAGATACACGTTGTGTATGCGTCAGTGATACTACTCAAATATTCAGACTCCTGTAGGTAAGTCAGCATGGTTACAGTACTCAGCTTTTGGTCATTAGGTAGTTTAAAGCATATACTATATTACTTCATGCTATATGGAGTTGACAAATAGGAAGGTATACATAATCTATGATTATGGCACAAGTGCACAACTCGCACGGACTATAAAAACCCATTTGTATAACTTTCAACAATCTGGTTGAACTGTTTGTACGCAACTCTGGGTCCTTTTTTTATGAAAATCAATTAAACAGTTGAAGGTACAAAAACAGTACAATGAAGTCTGGAAAACAATTGGAGACGAATCTCAGGAAAAGTTCCTACTTTTTTCATACATGTTTTTGTCATAGTAAATAGAATATCAATAAAATTATGTTAATACACAAACGACAAGCAGAAGTTATGTAATCTCTTGAAATAAAACATAGGAAGTACACTTTTGTATTACCATTATGAATATTTAGTAACAAAGTGATCAGTGAAACTCATAGGTGGACACTTTATAGGACCTACTTAGTATCATTGACTCAATAGATCAAACATACACATGAGTTTATAGGTATTAATTACAAAGTTGGACTCAAGTTTCAAATAAATTGAGCATTGGGTAGAGAGTTAATAATAAATATATATATTGTTATATCCCAATTAGTAGAAAATTTGTATTTCTGAATTCGGTTATTTATTCACTCCGAAGAAATGGCTTACATTAAGTCACGAAACGTCAGAAATACAATCTTTCTACTCACTGGGATATAACAAAAAAATATATTTATTATTAAGCATACACATGGTACAGAATTTTTCACCATGGCGCAACTGTATTCACTCTTCGTCTAGCTATAGATACCAAGTTCATAAATTATACTACGATTTTTCGCCATACAAATAATCTACTTTTTATTTTCGAACCACATTGTCTTAGCCTAATCTTTTCCACTACCACTAATGCTTTTACTACTTCTCCTGCTGTGACACCCCATCTGGTGATATGCTGTGGCAACTTGAAGCAATGCAAGTATATCCCAGGTTCTAAGTTGCATATGAATAACTGACTAACACACACACACACACACGATCGGATCACCCAACCAATGGTATACACAAGTAGTCAGCAAGATAAGTCTATTGCTTATAGAGTTAATAATGTTCGATGAAGTGGCTTTATTGCTTCTATCACACCACTAATCAATGAAGATGTTATGTTGAAAAAATAATTTAACGCTACACATTATAAATATCTAATTAATATAAAAATATTTTAAATTAACAGATAAACTTAATGCATAGAAATTAATTTTAAATAAAAGAGGAAAATTCATTTATCTAGGTATACAGTGAAACAAAAACAACACACATACACATGAAACCAATGAACACAGGTTCAAAATAATCATTTATATTTAATTAAAACATTATGATTTGACACACAGAAAACAACATTTAATGTTATACTTTGTACAATACACAAATAAGTGTAGTGATGAAAATAATAATAATAATGAATAATTCCAATAAATGGTCATATCCAAGTTGTTTACATTTCTCCACATTGTGATATTAGTACAGGAACTTTCGGACGATTATTAGCACCAGTTGGCACATTTTCAATTTTCTTCAAAACTAACATCCCATCGACAATTCGACCTGATAAATAAAGAAGAATATGACCGAAAATAATATTCGGAGTGTAATTTTTAAAAATAATAAAACTATATACGAATATTTTATACGAAAATGTAATGGGTTAAGTTACTGGAATTTGGAAAATCGTAAGAATAAAATGACGAAAACGAATGAGGACATACGTTGTTTAAAAGTGTAAATATCTTGGCCATACAGAAGATCAATTGCAGCTCAACTATCTCAGCAACAAAGTCTCTGGTTGTGACATTAGTTTAGATCCTAACAGAAGGATTAGTTGTTTCAAGATAGTGTGTCCCAAAAATAACATAACAAGAATCCAGGTCTTCCTCTTAGCGATCCTTAATCAACTAACATGAATTAGTAGACTGACGATGAAGTAACTCATAAGAAAACAAGCACAGTTTGAGTAATCAAGTTTAAGACAGTTTAATTCATTTGAAGGCTAATGATGTAGATTTCATATAAACTAGAAAGTTGCTTAAAGGTGAAATCATTTTGTTGCCTGTATTGAAAAACAGCAGTAAGACGTTTCCCTCAAATAATGAAAATTCCTACTAACAGCAGCTACCCACAAGACGTAGAATTTAGAAGAAATCCAATAAATTAAGGTACATCTTGATTATCGCCAAGATATTTTGGTTCCCAAACAACAAACACAAACAAATATCTGCAAGTATGAGTTAAAAAGGCTTAAAATATTTCCTACACATCTATGGCATATGAAGGCCATACATAAACCAATAAATATTTTTAACTACTTCATGTGACCCTAGCCCTGAAAACAAAGCTGATATTCATACCTCTGATCCTCTGTTTAAAGAACAAGACTAAAAGAATTATCGAGGACTAAAAATCTATAGGTAAGTTGATCTCGAGGCAAATTACTCGTTCACCCAACAACAATCGGTCTATGATGAAATGTTAGTTTAAAAATTCGAATAAATCTTAACAACTAATTGAAGAGATGGTAAATACTATATTCCGTATCTTTATGAAGGGTTGATGACAGTTTAAAAAAAGACTGGATTTCAATAAGCTGAAATTTTAGACACTAGGATATCGGTTTACAACTTAGAGACCTAAAAGAGGAAAACTGTATTTTTTTTAAATCACTAACAGTGATGATTGAAATTAAACGACCAATTAAAGAAACGAGTTTGCATTTAAGCAATACGTTTAGGGCTTACTGACGATACAAAAGTGGAAATTGAAGTGAATGTAATGAAAATGTATGGATTTTCGAAGTCACACATATCTGTTTGCAAATACTCTGAAAGAAACAGAAAACAAAACCACCTTCGCTATCATATGAAATTCCTTAATTGGGAGTTGTACATATTTGTTCGGTTATGTTGGCCAATAAAACCTTCTTATACATTCTCATCCAAGTAGCTCGTTTGGAAATGCATACAGAAAGCGTATACATATAAGCGGGAAGCCCATGCAATCGCAGAACATAACATGTCAACGATTAGAAACATATTAGTGGGTTGAAACATACATATTTTAAGAAAAGAGTGGCTCACTTTATAGGGTACTTGTTGTCAACGTATTAATAAACTGAAAATATTTCTCAGAACACAATTTGACAAACTACAAATAAACTCACCGAAAACCACATGTTTCCCATCGAGAAAGTCACAAGGGGCACAAGTAATGAAGAACTGGCATCCATTTGTATCCCGACCACTATTTGCCTAAAAGAGAATAAATTTAAAAAATGTTACTAAACTAGACAATTAAAAATAAAACTTTATACTCAATAATTATCATTACGTTTACGTGTAGAACAAAATACTTTAGATATAGGATAGATGGATAGATAAGCTTTCATTTAAGTCATTAATTGTTGACATAAGTTTGGCCATTTGTAAACTAATGTTAACTAATTACGAACTTATCAGTGAGTTTTATGCATTAATTTTGATTTCCTATATGTGATGCGCTTCAGTTGTTAAGTTCATTTGCATTTTCTGTCTCTATTCTCTTCCCATTTAACACTTTTGTATGTTGCTTTATATTTATGAATGTTAACCGTCGTGGAGCATAGGCCGTCGACCAAGAGTCACCAACCTACTTCATCATGGACTCTTCTTTCCAGTCGTTTCCGATTCCCATTCATTCTTTCAATATCTGCCTCAAATTCCCGAAGTAATGTGTTACTTGGTTTTTCCCTTTTCCATTTCCCTTCAAGATTCCAAGTTAGAGCTTGTCTCATGATGCATTTTAATGATTTCCTATCTACTTCCAACATCTTTTCCTAATTTCCACTTCAGCTGAGTTGATTTTTTGTATGACATAGTAGGTTGTTGCTGATGCCATCCGGTCAACGGACACTAAGTATCTTGAGTAGAAAATTATTCATATATACCTATACTATTCTGATGATGGTTGTGATGGATGTCCAAGTTTCAGCTACATACAATAAAACTGTCCTAACGTTTGTGTTGAAAGTTCTCGCTTTGATGTTGGCTGACAGTTGTTTTGAATCTCGTATGTTATTCAGTTGTAGAAATACTGTCCTTACTTGCTAATCCGTGTCTTTACATCTACATTAGATAATTTCTGTTTATCGATGAACCTGTCCAAGTAAGTAAAACTTTTCATCTCGTACAGAGCTTCTTCATCAAGTGAGATTAGTTTGGATATCTCTGTGTTGTATTTGAGGATATTGCTTTTCCATTGTGCATGTTAAGGCCTACTGATGCAGAGGCTGCTGCTACACTAGCTGTTCTCACCTGCATTTGTTGCTGTATATGGGATAGAAGAGTTGGGTCATCTGCCAAATCCAAATCATCCAGCCATATCCAAGTTGTTCATCGTAATCCGTGCTTTTCCTGAGATGTGGAGGTCAGCATAATCCAATCGACCACCAGAAGAGAAAGGGAAAGAGCAGGAGGCGTTGTTCGAAAAGGGTCTTCGCTTGGAATGTACATTGCAGTTAATTTTATGTCTAATTCAGTGTTTAATATGTTATATTGTCAGGTCATGCTGCTTTACCACTCTTTATTTATCTGATGGTCATCCTGATTTCCTCGATAGCTGGTGGAGTGACATCTCTAAGAAGGTTTATGTGTGGTGCTTCGACGTCTAGTGGGTTCAGTGGGGCTGATATACTCATGAGTTCTTTAAAGTGCTCTACCCATCTGTTCCTCTGTTCTTGACTTTCAGTGATTGGCTTATCACCTTTGTCCTTGACTAGTCTCTCTGGTTTACTATATTTCCCTGCCAGTTCCTTTGTTGTGTCACACAGTTGTTTCTTATTTCCTTTTATGCAGCATCTTTCGTTGTCGTTGCTAGCTCTATCACATACTTCTGCCTATCGGCTCTAATGCTATTCTTCACTTGCTTATCTGATTCTGTGTATTCAGTTTGTGTCTTGACTTCCTGTGTTCTTGTTCGGCTGTTGTTAATTTCTGTCCTCTTCTACTTTCTTTCTTGAATCTTGTCCACAGTTTCCATAAAGATTCACTCCTTATGATGATGCTCTGTGCGGCCCAGCAACTCCTGACATGTTGAAGTTAGTGCTTCTTTGCTCCCTTTTCAATTATCCCCCATAGTAGTTTCATCTTGTTTGAGTTGATGATGTAAGGCCCTCAACCTGTTGTTGAGATCTATTTTCAATTAATTGAGTTAGTCAGTATGTCGAAGGAATGTTGTATTAAGTATTGCAATGCTGTCTCACAAATTGTCCGGTGTTCTTTAGCTTCAGTTTCATCTTGGCAGCCACCAGATGGTGATCTGAAGTGATGTCAGCTCCTCTCTTAGTCCTCACGTCTTCCATTGACCTTCTGAATTTTTTAGTGATACGAATATGATCGATCAGTTTCTCTGCAGTGATCCGATGAAACCCATGTAGATTTGTGCATGTGTTTGTGGGAGAACATAGTGCCGCCAATAACCATTTTGTTGAATGCATATAAATTTGCAAATCTATCGCAATATTCGTTCCTTTCTCCTAATCAGTCCATGCCATCCTATAATATCTCCGTAACCAGTGTTGTCCATTCCCACTTTGGCGTTCAGGTCTCCCATCAGGATGGTCAGGTCTTCTCTGGGGTATTTCTCTACGATTAACTGCAGGCCCTTGTAAAACTGACCTTTACCGTCTTCATTGCTATCATTGGTGGATGCACAGCACTAAATAAAATTCATTACTACCAACTCGAAGAATGCTTTGACGATTCTGGATCCATGAGTGCTCTTAGTGCTTTTTGAACAGCATCAGTTCAACTCCTTGTGTGTACATAGCATTTTCTTCTCCATGACCATAATAAAATAGCACCTCTCCCGAATATAATCTTTTCTGTCTAACACGGGTACAATGGATTTCACTTATTACGAGCACCGTCAAGGTGTATCTCCTAATTTCTTTAGCTATTTGATTGGTTCTGCCAGTCTCCCACATTATGCGGAAATTCCATGTACCCATATTAATTGCTGCTCTGGTTGTTAGAAGGGCGTCAGCCTCGTGACTTCCGAAGAATCTCGGCTTTCACCACGAGGCGTCACGACTCTTCTTGCAAGATTGTTTTCTATGGGATTAGATTGTTGGCCCAATGTCCAACCCTCCTTTATTCACACTTGAGACCGTAAGTAACCAAAGGGCTACGAGAATTGTTGCTTATACTACTTGTTAATATTCAGTAATCAATTGCTGAACGTATGGTATAACGTACTTTGTTGTGTGATTAATAACATTTACAGTATTGATTGTGATTATTTTCGTTCAACCTTTGTAAGTTATTTAGTTTCGTACTTTCCCAGAATCCTTGTTTAAACCCAACAGCTTACATACCTATGTGCTTTTAGTTCCCATTTTCGTAGCTTATAAATTGCTGTTAACAGTAGATACAGCTACCACTTGTCATCAACGCTACCATATGTTGTAATTACTCTTTATATTATTACAGGAAGCCTTTCTCACTTCATATACGCAGACGCGTTAATTGCCGTAGATACCTCATGAGTTGAGGTTTGTAATCAAATCGTATGTAATCCTTAATAATAAAGCTGGAGTAATAAAAACAACTAATTCATTGATCAACGGTGTAAATTACTGATCATTAATTAATGAACTGACTACCTATCGCCAAAATTGTATTTTTCAATTTTGAATACATCATTGGGAGAGTTTCATTTTTCAGTGCATAAATCCATAAGAATAGTAATGATATGGTGATTTGACGAGTTGAATAGGAGATATTAGATAACAGATTGTCAATAACTTGTCCAAGAAGTACATAGTCATTAGTAGGGATTCAAAACTGAAATCTATCAGTCTCTGAATTCCACTATTAGTCACATAGCGAATATATTAAAACTTGTGACATAACGCCACATATACAGGCAATCTGTACACAATGCATATATTGTAAAAGACAATTCAATTCAATTTCTGAACAAAAAAATGGAGAAATTACAAACCTTTACCAGTGCAAGCAAGTATAATGTTTTAAACTGAAAAAACTATTCAGTACATATCAGCGTTGCATAATGAATAAATTCAAATAAGAAAATAGGAACTAAATAGTGGGACGAGAGAGAGACAAAAAGAGGGAAGCACACATTACTTACCATAGACAGCATTCCACAAGTACAATGTTTCACTTCAAAATTCTCATCTGCAAATTGTACACCGCCATAAATACTAAACGATCCGGTTCCGTCACCCTGAAAAAACGATTAATTAAACGAACATTGTTTTTTCGTTATGGTCGAATATTTACTGATATATAACGCTTACACAATGTCAGAAACTTTTTTCACAGACCATAATTTGCAAAAAAAATCAAAAAATGTTCAGTTAGAAACATATCACAGACACATATGTATTCAAATATAGTGGTTCATCATCGCCCCCCCTCACCTCAAATATTTTAACAATCACTAAAACGATGGATCATTATTTCATAAATCTGATTTTGCTAACATATATGCGACGGGGTGTACTATCTTTACCCCTGGGGCTGACAACTGTTGTTTTACTTGGTCCCTAATGTTAGCTTTTGAGAATATGACCATAAGTACTTTAAGAAAGGGTAGTTGGTTTTGTAGTATCGGTTACTATACGAGCTCACATAGTTTATTTTGGTTTCCGGACAAGCCAATTAATTCATTCTTCTTAAATCACATTTTGACCTTGTCAATTATTCGCTTATCAACCTTGACTGCTTTCATATGAGCGTATTTGTGTGCACTTTTTATCCCATTCATTACATATCTGGAACTCATTTTTATGCGACTATAAATATCGATTAACGCTTGATTAAATTGAGTTGACCCACACTCCTTCCCCACCACGTGTCATTTCGCTTCTCTCTCTTTTTGTTTCACCGCTCGTTTGTCAGATCAACGATTGTATGAAATATACGCATTCAAACTTCATTCTCGTATTCGACTTATGTAATTCCGTTATTCACTAATGCGAGATAAGTCGATGATTATATACGAAGATAGCCAGGATGTATAATTTTGACAACGATCATTCATACAATCGAACTGGAGTCAGATATCGGGCCACAAAAGTTCACATGTTATCGAAATATGTGTTCAACATGTGTAGATGCACACTTTTTTTCGCCTAAATATATCAAGATATAGCACGCAGATACACAAATTATCTCTGGCTATAACGACATTCAAACCTGAATCTAAACTGATGATAATATGATTACTAGAACTCGTTCTTGTTAAAAAGGCAATCACTGAACAAATTATGAGTTTATATATTCATCGTGAAACAACAATAATATGTCATTTATAGTAATAATAGTAATTATTATTATCATTATTGTACGATAGACAGGTTTGAGGAGTTCAAAGGAAGAAGGATTGAAAAACTATTCACTAATTCGAGGGTGGTTGTGAACAATGAATTAATACCAGTTATTTTAATGTTATTTTACTCGCATGTGGTGTATGTGAATACACCTTTTTTAATTCTTTTTTAAGCTTCCAAACAGTTATCGGTTACGGAATAAAATCAGATTGAGTTTTCATCAATAGACTTGTTATATTTTACGACAAAAAAGAACTTTGATAAGCTTAGGCGTATAGAAAAGACTCAGTTACAGTTTTAATTAACGCAGATGAAACAGAGCTCAAATGCATAACACAGAAGTTGAGATTCAAACAATCAAACTCTATAAAGTCACTGGCTTACAATCACTGAAAGAAATAGCTGAAAATAAAGTACTTAATATATGAATCAACTTACATTAATGAAATCCCCGCCTTGTACCATGAAATCTTTAATGATTCTATGGAATGATGTTCCCTTGTAACCAGTTGGCACACCATCTTTACGGTATTCACCTGTACAGAATTGCCTATTATGTAATTGGAAATCAAGACACAAAATAAACAATAAAGTTAATTACAAATAGTCATGTTCTAAATTTGTTAGACACGAGAGATTGAACCATAAATGGCCATAAAAGTATCCGAAATGAGAACTAGTGGAAAATATTTTTGACATACACAAAGTACAAACGATTACTTAACTAAAAGTAAATACACAGTAAACCCTCTACTAAAACACTCGAATACACTGATATAGAGAATCAAAATCCTTATTTGAACACTTGTAAGAGAATGAAGATGTGATCAGTGTATTCACAACCTGAATGAAAACCAGCATACTCCTTGTAAATCAATCTTTCATGAGATTTGTAAAATCTGTGGAGTATGACGGAAATTAACAGTTTGGCTAAAGCACTAAACTTCTAACCTTGGGAAACCCAGTTCTGATTCGCATATCTAATTCAGTCTCGCGAACTAGACAGTGTGATCAACACCCTATTCTAAACACATATATACTGATATGTCCTTCAGTTGAAAGCGAATACATGGTTCTTTATTTGACGACTGAGTAAGACTATATTAAATTTTTAATCAAAAAGACAAGTAAGTAAAAACAAATGCCTCGGTAATGCTGAACAGATTTCAATAATAAAATGTAAAAAGAATACAAAATGATCCCTACCTAAAATTCTCTACAGTTTTCGGGACAATATCTTGAAATAATTCGAATTGCATTCGACCGATTTCCTATAAAGAAAGGAATAAAAAAACTGGAAACAATCAGGAAATTATTAGACTTAAAAGTTTATAAGAACCTAATTTATGTACTTATCCAACAGGTGTCTTCAACACCTTCCTCACCAAGTGAATAATGTTGAGGAATTGTACGCAAGGTACTACTGTAAGGGTGGAAATTAGTTGATGAAACTGTACATTACTAATAGGTCCCAAAAAAGGCGAACTATCTATTCATCAGCGCATCATGATTTTCAATGGATCTCCAGTTAATAGCAGTTTATGATGAAAGCTGTTACACAGAATAAAATACTTTAGAAAAGATGCAACTTTAAAGACTATTACACGGTCAATTATTATGTTTATTTTTATTATTTAATTAGTAAACACTTGGTTTACGATACTTTCATATTGCCATAATCATAAGCTTTCATTTAACTTGTTAACTGTTTATATACGTTTTATGATTCCTGAATTGTTTTAAACAATTGTATAGTTGTTGCCTCGTTTTGTATCACATGTGACTTAAGTGTGTACAAATTGATTCATTATATGTAGTGTACTATGGTTGTGTACTTAATTTAATATGATTCTATGAGTACTCAACTCCTAATAATAAAAGCTATATCGGCTTACTGTTTTCATTTTACTGACTGGATACTGGGGAAAGAAAAAACTATGTTGAATCAACAGGAAATATGATCACTGTGATTGCTGGTGGTCGCTTGTGTTAATGATCACAGAGAAAGTTATTGATATGATCGGTGTAGGCGACCTTGTAATGAGCAGGTTCTATAGTACTGAGAACCAATCAGGTGGATGATACAACAGAATAAAGGTTACAACAAAAAACAATCATCAAATTTAATTTATTTCCAAAAACCATCCAACCAAACTGTTTTGTTTTCTGAAATCATATGAAATTAAAAAATCAATTAATCAATAAAAACTTAATGTAGATAATGCTACGGGAATTACATTAGGTTTCAATAACAATCATTATTCTACTGGACTGTGTAAACTTTCTGTGCATAATCGCTTTCACTACCACTAATACTGTTACTACTCAAAGATCTACCTTAACAATTTCATCACACTATGTTGATATGGTGTGATAACATGAACCGATGCATATGTCAGATTCCACATGGCTTATGACTGAATGATCAATATAATAGGCTTATACAAATAAATCAAGAAATATGATTCGGAAAAAGAATAAAAATTTAAAGACTACATTTACCTGTCCACCAATCGTGACATCAAAGAAAACGACTGGATTATTCGGATTGTTCATACGCTCCGCGACTGCTGGCAAAGGTACCACCATTGTCTGAATTCAATTAGGGTGGGGGAAAATAACTTTTTGAAAAACATATATGCGTGGGAAAAATTAACTAAAAACTAAACACATTTCATATTAGGTAGTAATTTAAATTGGAAATAGTTCGCAGCTCAAATTTAACTGAAAAACGTGAACTACAGTTGACTGATTGCTGAGATGTGACCGATGTGATATTTGTCTGGTTCTTCTTCATTGTTGATCGATAGAAATCTGTTAATTTGCAATATGGCTGCTAGTGTAATTGAATCTACTCAGATACAAAACAGTTGGAGGCAGGGTTCCCGATCGACCAATCTCCATCATCTAACAACGTAAACTAATGAATTCAGTAGAAATGTTTGAATACTATTGCAATTCCTTAGCTTTTTCTAACGTTCTTATATTTGTATGGACTGAGAATAATACTCACCTTTGTAACGACTTATACTATCAAACTATCTCGTAAGACACTGCTGGTCTCCTGAAGAAATACAATATAAGCAGCATGTATATGTTTGCGCAGATAACCAAACGGAATACTATTTGACTTAATTAATTCATTTAGATAACCAAACGTAAATTTGTATATTTGATTCTAAGGTACTCACTTTTATGATGATACTTGATACTAGTCGGCTATGAAAGTTTATTAGACTCAAGATTGAATTGTACCGGTTAAAAAAACAATTGTTCAGATTAATAAGTCACTCACTCCACTCCCCTATCCCATACTACACTTCGTTAATGGAAAGATTTTACTTTCAATGTAAATAGTAAAAATTATTAAGCAAATCAAGCTACTGCTGACAAAAAATAATTGAAATTAGCTTTCATTCTAATTATACAAATGTTCTTCAACTCATTCACCAGGTAAACAGATTGATTTATTTAGCTTTGGAAAATATTCTATATGTAAGTATGAGAGCTATTGACACTAATCAATTGCTTAAAACGAACTAAAAGCGAAGTGAAGTTAGAACCTGAAAATCAAATGTTTTAACCACTGACCCATCACTTCAACATGCAACACATACATATATGTATTAGTAAAAGTAAACACAGAAACTAACTTGCAATAAGACAATTTGTGTATTTCTTCAATTTTGATAAATGTATATAACAATATACATAACAATAACAATATTGCAAGTAAGATCCAGTACAAATAAATAGTGTGAATGTACAAATATGTAGTTGTTTTCTGTTTATTGTCTCCTGACATACAAAATATGACTAGTCCTTTTTTTTCTTTTATGTACAAAGACTAAACTCAAAAATTTACAAAACTATAGACTTATAATTACAAAAAATGTACAAATAAATAAATCATTATCTTTAAACAAATAGAGATTTACAATGATAGCTTAGTTAAAATTATTTGACATGTGTGAGTATATTGTTGTAACAGTTCAGCAGATATATCGGAATTATCACTATTATTATTATTATTATTATTACTGTTATTTACAAGTGAAATAGATTGTTCAATTAGATCTTTCAATGAATGTGTTATTGAAGATGTTGTTGACAATGATGATGATGATGATGATGACGTGGATGGCCATAGATAAGAGAATAATTCATTATGATTTATTTGTTCAATAAATTTAATTATTAACTCCAATGGTAATTTACCAATAAACTGAATAATTAATTTTGGATTAAAAGCAATTAAACGAATGGAACATATTATATAGATGAATAATAATTTATTAGTCATAATTTCCTTTGATTTATGATGATTTAATATATTTAAAAATTGATTACCAGTATCGAATAATAATTGTTTTAATGAATTACATTGTTTCCCAGGATTATTAGTTTTGAATAAATGTGAACCATAGATAATGATATCTGTAATTAAACAACTTAAACGACTGATAAGATTCAATATATCATTGTTTGATAACAAATCTTTCATTCTATATTGTTTACAAAGAAAAAGCACATACATAAAATTTAAAAACAGTTAGTATTCAGTAAAAGTTATGTACTATAACAAAAAAGGTTAAATGGGATTAAAATATAAAGAAAAAAAATTAAAGTATTGGTCAATTAGATTCGTGGTGAAGTCATGGCTTAACATTAAAAAAGATCAACTTTTAAACAATTGGATTTACATTAGAATATTACTTTCTATCTATTTTAGTATGGTTAATCGAATAGTATCACAGATAATCATCACATAAGATGTATCTTAAAATCGAAAACATAAGTTTGAACATGAATATTGAGTTAATTTCTCAGAATAGTTAATATAAAAACACAACAAAGATAAATTATGTTATGATTTCACTTTTTTGCGCCCTGTAAGTAGATTTACTAGATTATAAAGTCTATTAGTGAAGAGTCAGCTTTAAGTCAGTAAGAGCAACAAGCTTCACTGAAGCAAGTGAGACTATCTAGTATCTCCTTATTCTTAATAGTAAAACTAAAATAGAGATAATTGTTTACTGTGCACTGATAAATGCAGACTACCAAGATGAGGATAGAGACAATAGGTGACACAGAGGTTCAGAATATCTCACAAAGGTCCAGATACACTCACTCTTCATCTCCCATTAAATTTTCACTTTTAAAATTAATTTGCACTTTGAGATCTCACAAATTCATTGTTTATTATTCAATCACTTTCACTATTATTTCTAAGAATCTGACTAAAATTTATCTTGACAATTTCATCTCACTGTGTTGATATGCTGGTGGCAACTTGAGCCGATCCACTCATTCGCCAAATTCTAAACTGCTAATGACTGAATAATTTACTTATGAATTTTCAAAGATCAGTAATTCATAATAGAGGTACAGCTTACAAATTCATTAGACATACAATAACAGGACTGATTTATAGCTAAAAGCTTTTTAATAATTTATAAAAATGGAATTATTCACATATCATGATTTATTTTGACCGTATACAGGAAAATATGAAAAGTGTGACCAGAAAATTTTATTGTACCACTTTAATTAGTTAATCAGACTCACTTCAAACATTTTGTTAACCATGGAAGTAGTCGACCCGTGAGAAGCCAACCTAACAAACCATGCTGTCGGTGTCGTTCCACTTGCCGATATCTTCGTGTACGTTGATGATTTCTAGATCTTGAAGAAACACTGGCAGGTTGTTCATCATGGAAACCGATCATTGCCTCTTCACCAACAACAAAAGCCATTGCAGATAAAATTAATCTTAAGGAGTAAATAATATCTGAATCAACCACCGTCTTAGACAATATCGTCACGTGTGTTGAAGAATCATCTGTGATATGATCACGACACACATTTAAACATGTATCTACCAGTTCAAGACATAAACAGCGAATACGATGAGTCTGTTGAGAGAATGCAAAATTATGTATCTCAATAGGTGCTGAAGACTCGGATGCTTTAGCTGGTAGCCAACCTTTTTGACGAAGTCTACGGTAAACAACTACCTGGTTAGAATTAGACTGAACATCAGATTTTAAACAGACATTTCGTGCTTCTCGTGCCTCCTGCCAAGCTAATAATGTTTTTAATGTAGTGGTTATGTAGGAAAATGACAAGTGATCATTATTATCAACCACCGCTGAAGTACGCGAATGAAATTCAAATTCATTTTTGATTAGTTCCACATTACACCATAAATTAGGAAATGCAATTAAACAATTATCTATTATATGTGGCATTAAATATAAAGCAAAATCTTGTTGTGTAAATGCTTGATGAAATAAATGACTCAGATATTGAATTAAAAATTGTCTAGACCATTCTACTTGAACAAGATCTAAATTAGTAGATAATAATTTGAAAATAACACCACAAGCAATCGAATATTGAGTTATTTCAGTGAATTTATTACAAGTATTAAGTAACCATTGAGTAGATTGTTGATAGCAATGCAACATTTCCATTTGATGATCAACACTTATACCATGACATAAAGATACAAATTTCTCATCCATTGAATTTAAAAGTAACGAACAATTTGAATAATTGACTGAAGTTAAAATAGTATTTAGTGAAGATAGAATAATTTCCATTGGCATATTTGTTTGCTTTAATTCACTAGATAAATCTGTTGGCGCTTTTTTAATTGAATCTTTGGTTGATAATAGGAAATTAATACATTTTTGTTTTATCCCGGCATATTGGTGATCTGGTTTTGTATTATCAGTAATCATATGATTTGCAGCCTCCGGTAAAGACACATCAGTGGATAAACAATCAAGTACTATTTTTTTCCCGCAATGGGATTCACTGCTTACCTTCCTTTTACGAATTATTTTTTCATCATTCAGCTTACATAGTTGTTTGTTTTTTATCGGACTGGAATGAGTTTGGCGAGCTTCGACAATGACAGGGACTTGAAGCTGAGTCTTAGAATTAGTCGAAGTAGATAACATTTGACTTCTATAACAGATTTTTGGAATGTCATTCAAGAAAGATGATGAACACAGCCTATCACACCACTGTAAAATATCAGATGAATACTTATCTGATAATAATGAAAATAGTTGAACATCAGATTTAAGTGATGATGATGATAATGATAATGCAGGACAACTGGAACCACGAGAAAGCGTCGAAGGACAGGTCAGTACACGAGAGGGAACATTATCATCTAAAATTACGTTTATTTTAGAGCGCTTTTCTAATTTCTTTATTTGTTGTACAAGTGGTTTAGTTGACGTTTTCAAATATGATGTTCCCACTAAAATCAATTTAGCTTTTGAATCTGATGATTTCTCACATAGATCAATTGAAAAATTATCATTGGAGTGAAAAGATGATGTATTCGGTGAACAGTCAATTATTTGAGAATTATTTTTCATTTTACTTCGAGTGACCATTTTATGAGATTTATCGGAAGATTTTGGAATACAAGGGGAGTTTAATGTTTTTGAATCGGAACAATTTGTTACTTCATTTTCACCTAGAAAAAAAAGCCTTGTTGAACACTTCTTATTTCATTAAATGACAAACATGAAAACAAAAGAATTTACACAACAGTACTAATAATCATGTTTGGTTAAACCAATTACCTTAAATTTTGTAATTTACATTATCGAATAGCCTTAGTTACATAACTATTAAAAACCACAAAGCACTAAAAAGCCGCTTCATCCTAGTATGTGAATCCTCTGTAGAAATCATCCTCGACTCCATCCGGAGATTAAACCTAGGACCTTCATATTTCGCGATGAACACTGATGAGAAACCCTATACTAGGAAGAGAATTTTATCCAACGCTCTTTAGTCTACAATGGTTGTTTAAAGTCAGTCTGTGATGTAAACAACAGAATCCAACATTCTCCCCAACCCTACCTCCATCCATAATTTTCCTATAGTTGAACGGAATTAATGATAACAATAAAACAGGAAGTATAATTTTATGAAGCTACACTTGAGAAGAGAAATTCGACCACCTTTAATACCACACTGCTACCGCACGATTAACATAATTTTAAAACGACTGAGGTATAGAATAAGTGATAATGAAAACGATCCAAAAGCCGTCGTGTAGTTGAAGCATGAAAATAAGTAAAATATTGATTTAATTTCTTTTTTAATAGAATAATAATGTGACGTAATTTATTGACAAATTACAGGTTTAGCTGCTATTAGGATTTAAGCAGCACATTTTATGTGAAGGCTAGAAATATTAATTGGCTGCATCAACAGTGTCCTTAGGTTCGAAATTTTAACATGAAATTTGAAACCCAATTATTTTAAGTAGTAAGCAATTAGTTTATATTATTATTAAGAAACATTATAGGATTATTTTTATATGATAAGTGAATCATTCAACTTGCTTCATTTAATAATAAAGCGTTTTCTAGACATTTTCTACATTTTATATGCGCGAAATTACTGTTCTTCAGTAGATTTTCAACACAAGTGAAAATATGCCACTAACACATCAAAGGCTACACTCCCGAAATGATTGTGTGGCGAGCCCATAAAAGCTGTCTCTTGGGCTCTCCGTCACTCTCTCGAGTCATCACGGCTCCTACTAAACTATTTTCCTGATAAAATACCTCAAGAATACATTGTTCCACAATATGGACAAACGCGAATTGAAAACTGCTCGCATACATCTGATTTTTAGCTG